CACCACTTGGGCTCCTAGCTTTTCACATACACTGCATAATACAGCTAATAACTGTGTCATTTCCCTGTCAACAAGCAAAGGCATCACAGTCTTCACTGGAGTAAAATTCTCACTCATGCTTAATTTTCCTAGATAATTCAAAGTACAAAATAAATGTATAATTTCAGTCTTTTGTTTAAAAGCATATTGGGGGCTGGGGCTGAGCGATAGCACACCTGCCTAGCATGTGTGAGGCACTGGGTTCAATTCTTAGCACCACACATAAATTAAAAAAGAAAGGTCTATCAGCAACTAAAAAAATATTTTTTTTATAAAAAAGCATATTGGTAAAAACAAATTTTCGCTGAGCACAGTGGTGCATGCCTGTAATCCCAGTGACTTTYGAGGCTGAGGCAGGAGGATCACAAGTTCAAAGTCAGTCTCAGMAATTTAGTGAGACCCTAATTAATGAAACCCTAGCTCAAAAATAAATAAATAAACAAATAAATAAAATAAAAATAATAATTAAAAAAAAGGGCTGAGGATGTGAGTTAGTGGTTAAGTGCCCCTGGCTTCAAGCATGAGTTAGACTTCCTAGTTTAGCGATACTTCTCTCAATACTTCAGACTTCCTTGAGACAATGGTTTGGAGTAAGTCAGACCTAGGTTTTAATTGCAGCCCTTCTACTTAATTGCTGATGTAAAACTGAACAAGTTCCCTCTTTTCCCTGAGCCTGTTACCTTTTCTATAAAATAAGGACACTAATAATATCTGTCTCCTGATAGAGTTTTATGAGAATTAAATGAGATACCATATATAAAGGGCTTGGCATAAAATTAGATGTACAATGGGAATACCATGCATGTATATTTTCTTCTTCTCCCACTTCCTTGGATTTAAATATAAAACTATTCACAGTACAGCACTTTAGTCAATTTTAGCACATATTCTTATATTCTCAGCTTTGTTCCCCATTCTGCCCTCCAGTACTTGGGATTGAACACAGGGGCACTCTACTGGGCTACATCCCAGCCCTTTTTATTTGTTCATTTATTTTTGAGGCAGCGTCTTACTCAACTGCAGCAGGTCTTGAATTTGTAATCCTCCTGCCTCAGCCTCTGGAGGGTCATGGGGATTATAGGCGTGTGCTCCTGCACCTGGTTCTCAGCATTTTATAGGCTTTTCTCATCACTTTAGGAAGGAGGGTGGGATAAAAAAAGCATTACAACACATATTTCTCTTCATTGATTTCAATGGAAAAAATTGGGGAAATATTTAAAAATACAAAGAAAGTAAAAAAAACCTAAAAATTCCTCTATCAGTAATAATACTTTGACCTATAGTTTCCATGTATTTTTTTCTGTGAATATGTAGTCATTTATTGGTGAAATATACCTTAAAATTGGGATTATACTCTATATACTTTATGAGTAATTTTCTTTTCTTTCCTTTTCACGCTTATTTTTATGCTATAGTCTCAAAATCTTCTTTTTCAAAAATCAGAAAAAAATGTGAACAGGTTTTCTTTTTCTCATGCAAGTATGGTTTAGAATGCACTTCCCTGAGCTAGATGAAACATTCCTCTGAAACACATTAACCAGCTGTAAGCGTGAAATCATGAATAATATTTTTATGAATAATATTATTATAAAATACTAAAAGGGTTAAGGTCATTGAAAAGTAGAGTCTAGTGCCAACAACACCCTGTGCAAAAAAGATTCTAGTGCTTTCTTTAAAAAAAAAAAAATATATATATATATATACACACACACACATATATATAGTTTAAAAAACAATGACTTTCTTTTTTTATATATATTTTTTAATATTTATTTTTTAGTGTTAGGTGGACACAATATCTTTACTTTGTTTTTATGTGGTGCTGAGAATTGAACCCAGTGCCTCACGCATGCTAGGTGAGCGCGTTACCACTTGAGCCACATCCCCAGCCCTTATAATATTTTTTTTTTAGATGTTGATGGACCTTTATTTTATTTATTTATTTGTATGAGGTGCTGAGACTCGAACCCAGTGCCTCACACATGCTAAGCAAGCGATCTACCACTGAGCCACAACTCTAGCCCCTCTAGTGCTTTTTTGACTGTTTCTTGCATACAAATCTTGGATATTTCACCTTTTCTAATAAAAGTTATTTATTAGACTATTATCTGCATTGACCTCATTTTTTTTTTTTCTTAAAAATCACGAACTGTTTTGGCAAGACTTTAGGAATCTTAAGATAAATCCTGACTGTAACGTCAGATAGTATGTAACTACTTTTCTTTTAAGCTGTAGAATACCTTGTAAGTGCAGAAAGACCAATTCAGAGAAAAATAAACACCCTACTTAATTTCCAAAGCAGGAACTAAGTGTAAAAAAAATTTCCAAAATAGTCACAGAAGTTTCAACACATAAACCTAAAAAGGAAATAAACATCAGCTCCACCTTAGGCCTTCATCCAACTCACAGTGCACCAGGGAGATTTAATAAAATCTCRCTGACAAGGACTTAAGGCAGTGGTGGACTGATAGGATGTTCTAAAAAATTTTTAAACAGTAATAAGTTCAAAATCAGCTTAGAAYCTATGTATTCTTTCAAATTGATTGGAAACATCTTGTTAAGTATGACAAACATCTAAGTTTCTTGCCATTAATTTGCTTACCTAGTATTCCTTTCACAGACAAAGCAAATACAAACTTCAGCCTAACTCCTTTAAACTCAGATTTCAAATTAGTAGAATCTGAATAATCGATTTGATGGTATTGCAATTCTTGATTGTGGAGCCTCCACTGTACTCAGGTGTGAAATTCTTCATGCCTTTGCAGGCAGCAGAATTGACAGGGTTGATGAGTGTGGCAGAGATGTGATGTAGATAGTGTCTAATAAAAGTGGATAAGATTGAATCCTAAAGATAAGAAATCAGGGAGGAACATGCTGCCTAGCACAGAACAGAGAGGACCTTCCCAACTCTCAGCAAGCTACTTACATGTCTGTGAAGAGAGCTGGAGAGTCAGGCCGATGGGACTGCACATCCTGCATAGCATTCCATTCATTGACTGAGGATTGATCCGAGTTGATATGGCTCTCGTAATAACTTACCCAGGTGAGAAAAAGGCTGCCTGGGTAGTAGTTATGCATTCTGGCTACTTCACAAGCCTTGTGTAAACTCTGTAGAGCAGACCTGAAAGATACACTGGGAAATGAGCACCACAGAATGGTGGGGTACTAAAAGGCCAATAACCCATGTATATCTCAAAGTCTTCTGATTTTTAAATTCTATAGCATTTGACCTCTGGAGAATCTACTCCCTGGAATTCAAGATCCTCTAATCCTGATGATATGGGTATTGCCCATATTATTTAGACATTTACTAAAAGATATGATGTAACCTTAACGTTGGGGATGGGGAAGAGACTAACAATCCATTAGTGAAAAAGATCTAGGTACCTATAGAGCTCATGATCATATAGTTGGAACCACACTGGGGCTGTATTACTAGAAAACTAAAGATMTCAACAATACTACATAAAGATTTCTTCCTCTTGACATAGAGATTACAAAACAGCATACATTTCCCCATGGTTCCTGGAGGCTCCACAGAGATCATATACATAGATGTCCCTAAGCCATGAGGACATCTCTTCAATATCCAGAAAGTACTTATTTAATGAWGTTTTATCATTTATGGTGATTTGGTCTCCTAGTTTTTAAAAATCATTTATTCATACACATGAAATACCTTCTAAGAACAGTTTTGGTTATTTTTTTTTGGTACTGGGGATTGAACCCAGGGGCACTTAACCAYTGARTCACATCCCTAGCCCTTTTTATGTTTGAGACAGGTCTTGCTAATTGCTTAGGGCCTCACTAAATTGCTGAGGCTGGGCTGGAACTTTCGAACCTCCTGCCTTAGTCACCAAAACTGCTGGGATTATAGGCATATGCCGCTGGGCCTGGCTCGATCTGAGCTTTGGTTAGTCTGAGACTTCTGATTCTGAACTCCCATGAAGGGTAAACAAAACTGAAAAGTATTATTTGGTTATATGCTTGGGAARAGCTTATGTCAGAAATGGTAGAAAGTTAGTTACACAGGAACAAAGACCTTTCAATGTTTTGTTTATTGATGTATTTGAAGTACCTAAAAGAAGGCTCAGCTCATTGCTGGAGCTCAATTAGTATCTGTCAAATAAAATGTCTTAATGCTATAAATTAATGTCTCTCTCCTAAAGGACAGTTATATAAAACTCTGTGGTCAGTCTGTTTACATCTTTTTCTTAAAAATGCCTTTTAATCTATTTTTCATACCATTTATCCTTTAATTTACAGCCTTTATCAACATCTTTCCATATCAATATTCTTTTTTTAAAAATATTTTTTTAGTTGTAGGTGGACACAATATCTTAATTTTATTTGTTTATTTTTATGTGGTGCCAAGAATCAAACCCAGTGCCTCATGCATGCTAGGCAAGTGCTCTACCACTGAGCCACAACTCCAACCCCTCAATATTCTTAAGTTAGATCATTTTCTATGGCTGCATAATATTCAATAACATATGTATCATAAATTAACTGATCTTTATTTTTCATTTAAATTGTTTTCTATTTTTTTGCTATTATTAGAACATCAACAATCATTCTTATATAAATCTTTGCACACACCCATAGTTATTACTGCAGAGTAAATTCTTAGTAGAATTCCTAGGTCAAAGGGCATGCAAAATGATAAGGYACATTGGCAAATCACTCTTCAGAAAGAAGAATAAACTGGGAAAACCTATCAATAGCATATGATTGTCTATTCCTTAAATCCTTGTCAATTCCATATTATATAAATTAAAAATTTTTAATAGTCCATTTTTATTAAAGATTGTGGTTTAAAAATAAAGTTGCAGAATCTTTAAAAATGTGTTCTATTACTCAAAGTAAGCCAAATTCTTAGAGAATTTGTTTTATTATATAGATTCAAAGGTAGGGGCCAGTTTAGTGTGATATACAGGATAATTAATGTTTTCTTCCTCTAGGAAATACAAGCTAACACAGTGAGGAACAGTCAGTCTACTTCAGAACATCAAAATTGATGTAAGTTTATTACTTGAATTAAGACTGCTTTGTAGTCCTTCCCAAAATATACCTAAAAATACCTCATTTATGGTYCCTATCTCACTATTTATTTATTTTTGGTACCAGGGAGCTAATACATAGCAGTAAGGTGTTCTAGACTTGGCTCTTAAGACTCCTAAGTAACTTAGTCAATGTGTTCCTATAAAACTCAGTTCTAATCTGCTGTATTTGATCCACTGTCTCCACCAGAGCCTAAGAATACCTCTAGATTTCACTTGTAGACCAATGCTCAAGGCCTTCCACTGTGACAATTTAAAAATTGCACTTTTAGGTCATCTTTAACTGTGAAGGCCAAACCGATAACAAAAATCCTAAACAAACAAAGCATACAGCATTTTAACAGTAAATTGGACCTTTCAAATATTACTTCTCACAAAGTACTACTCTAATAACATATTTTAAAACACTTATAGAATAGCTAAAAAAAAAAAAAAACACTTTTTGTAGAGGTATTAAAAGTCATCTTACCACATTGCCTGCACAGATACAGGTTTGAATATGTGAACTCTATTATCTGTTGACACGCTGAACCCACTAAAGACAAAAGAGAACAAAACAAAAATTCACAAATAAGGGTAAATTAGTTCAGTTTTGAGTTTTCAAGCCTATTTTCTGGGCTAGCAATAGCTGGTTTAATAGAAGGAATTACCAAGTACATCACTTAGAAGTTAACTAAGGCTTGACTGAAAAGCTTCGATAAACTGGTAGGMAATTAAAAGTTTCCCAGTTGTAGATATGGTCAAACTCTTCTTCTGTATATTTCCATTTGGAAGTCTTCTGGGTTGTTAGCAAACCTGACCCTGGTTTTATAAACTGGAGCAAACATCTTAGTCTCTTGGGGACACATTCTAAAAACACCAGAAGGTGGGGGTTGGAAGGGTCAGTGGAAGGAACTGGCACAGGAAAGAGTTATACTGTAGGCTGACAGCTGGCAGAGGCTGCAAGAGGTTATTTGAAACAGAACATACCCTCTGGGAGGGCATTGCAATAGCCTACAAGCTCAGATTAAAGAGTGAGCAATAAACTACTCCTTCTTTATCTGGCTGACTATGGTAGGAATAAGTAAGAAACTGGAAAGTTGTATTTTTACTTCACTTTACAAAACAGGAGTTTAAAAGCACCTACTGAGCTACTGACATGTTTGTTCAGTCAGGCATACTGGGCCTTCCACTGAGTTGACTAGTTCACTAAGATGGAACCCTACCTCTTGGCTTTCTGAAGGAAAATTAAAAGGGAAAGTACTTACCCATCACCATCCAAATGAATTAGGGTGTCACTCCAGAGAGGCAGGACTAAGCCCATGGTACAAGTGCTACTGCAAGACAAGAAGCAGTCCATAAATTATTTCCTGCTATTTGGGAAGCTATCTTTGTTTATTAACTGTCTTAACACAAAACATAAACTCCTAAGCTCTAAATTTTGGCACGAGTGTTAAAATTTCTATCATATTATTATTAAAATTTCTACATATCAAAATGTAGTTAATAAAGATTTGTGTTCAAATTAGAAAAAAATAAATAACACAACTTAAATAAATAAAATAGTACTTGGTATCTGTGTACTGAACTACCATGGGCAAACGCCAAAAATGGTAAAAGGATAGCCCTAGAATTTTGGGCCCTGGGGATGTTGCTCAGTGGTAGAGTGCTTGCCTAGCTAGCAAGGTTGAGGCCCTGAGTTTGATCCAGAACACTGAAAAACAAATAATCAAAACACAATTTCAATTACATCCTAGTCCAAGAAGGAAACCAGGCTTTAAGTGAATGGTATAGGAAGCCATGGATTCCCAACTGACTATGTGCTCTATCCCATCCCTTCTCTGGACAACTGTTACCTATGCCAGACTTTTGTCACTTTATCTCAAGACTGTCCCAACAGTTTTCTATTCTTTTAAAGGCTCCTGTACCTGAATCCTCCCAATATATCTAGAGAGGCAGCATGATGTAGTAGAAAGAACACTGAATGTGGGAGGTGAACAACGAAGTGTGGTTAAGAGCATGGGCTCTGGTACTAACTGTATAACCTCAGGCTAATGATTTTATTGTTTTGTGTCCAAGTCTCTTCACCTGTAAATCTGAGATAAAAATACTTTCATCATTGACTGTTTTAAGATTAAATTAGATAAACAAAAAATGCAAGCAAGAATACCTAAAACACAATAATTTCTACTTACTAAGTATCTACTGTGACAAAATACCTCGATTTGATCTCCTTCAAAATTATAACTCCCTCTGACAAGTTGTTTCACCTCTTTCAGCCTTCAACTTATTCATCTTTAAATGCAGGTAACAAACTAAACTTTTATACAGTTAAAGATTTAAAACATGTAAAGTAATACGATACATGTGAACGTACTGTCCTATTAGACAAATGTTGAATATGAATCTATGGTAGATGCTCTACTATATCTGAAAGTGATACAGTAGGGTATTGAACAGCATTGTGTAAATGATTTAAAAACAACAGAAGAATACTGAGGTCAAATTTTTGGAATTACTATATGGCTAAAGAAGGCTTGCCTCTAGCTGGGCTGTTTGCTATACTCGCTGGCCCTGTTACTCAAAATCCTATTAGTGATTCTAGAGCTTAAGACAGTCAAATCAAGACTGAAATAGCTTGTCTGCATTGGAACCCTTGGTCTGAACACCAGAGGTGCAGCTATCATGAAGGAAATAGATATCTTTTTGTTGAGAAGATGAGTGAGCACATGAAAATTTGTTTTGAAAATAGTTTCCTAAGGTAGAATGGGATTACTTTTTAAATAGTTTTTTTGTTTTTTATTTAGTGAGTGCTTAGCTAGGTTCCTAGCAACAAAACAAATTTGGAGTATAAATATGAAGCCCAGTGACAAATCTAGAAATTAAGTGACTACAGGAGCTCCAGGAGTATGACCTATGAGCTGGTGACCAAATAGCAGTCAACCTTTTGACAAGTAACAATGATATGTAGGAATCAACATCATATTTTCAGCTGGTATTCAGGTTCGAGTGTTTTGTTTTTAAAATATTAAGTAGCAGTTTTTCCACACAACTGAAAGAAGAAGTCTGAATTAGGCACAACTAGTTGTGTGTGTGTGTGTGTGTGTGTGTGTGTGTGTGTATGTATTTTGCAATGCTGGGGACTGACCCAGGGCCTCACACATGCGAGGCAAGCAATTTCAGCCCTTTTTAAAAATCTCCTTTTTGAGACAGCTAAGTAGCTGAGACTGGACTCAAACTTGCATTCATCTTGCCTTAGCCTTCCAAATCGCTTGATATTATAGGCATGCACCACTACAGCTGCCTCACACCTGGTATATTTACATAGTTTACCTGAGTCTCATGAGATTTTTCTCCACTAAAGTACAGTTATTTATTTTAGTAGATACTCATCCCATTCAACAAACATTTCAAGATATTATGGATACAAAGATTTAAAACCAAAATTAGACAGCAGAAGCTTTATTAGTTTATAACTTGAAATACACATGGTATACTTTAGAAACCAAAGTTATGATGTATATTTTAAAAATTTATTACTTAAAATACAGGATAATACTTAAGATGGGCTAAAGAAACGGTGACAAACATTTTAAGAACTATTTATACTTGTTATAAACAATCTGGGTTCTATTTTGGTTTAATCTAATTTTGAAACATTAACCTATGATGTTCTAAGATATGAAATGATACAAATTCCTTTAATAGCAATTAAGATAGAAATGACATTTGATTACCTGATCACAAGAATTCTGAAGTAGGCAGCATTTCTCTTACTGTATAAGAGGTTCACTTGAGTAGAAGATGTATGGGAATTTCATAATGTCAAGTTTATCAAACAGAATGAAAATCAGTTTCTAACTTTTCATGTCCCATTTTGTCTTCTACAAACTAAAATTTCCTTTTGTTAATGGAAATTGTTAGATGTAATTCAGGCAAGACTATTACAGCAGATAGATGTGGTTCACTGAGTAATAGTTATTGGGCCTCCTTTAGCATTCTTTCTGAAAAGTTTAGGACAAAATGAAAGAAATTGCTAGACATCTGATTGTCACACTTGGGGTCAGGAAAATCTGCAATTACTGCCTTCTCTCTCTAGGGGAAGACTCAATTGAAGTATCCATGCAGCTCTAGCTCCTGTTGCATGGGGTTTCTAAGAGAAAGGTCAGGGACACCTGAACAAAAGGAAATATAAGATAGTGCAGCACTGTCCAACTGCACTTTCTGAAATAATTCAAACATTCTATACACGCACTGTCCCATATGGGAACCGCTAGATAAGGCTATTGAGTACTTGAAATATGGCTAGTTATGACACAGAAACTGAAATTTTATTTATTTATGTAATATCATTTCAGTTTTGAGTTACAGATGGACAAATATCTTTATTTTATTTATTTCTATATGGTGCTGAGGATTGAACCCAGTGTCTCACACGTGAGAGGCAAGCTCTGTACCACTGAGCTACAACCCCAATGCTTATTTTATTTTTTATTTATTTAAATAGCCACAGATGGTTAGTGCTCACAGTACAGATCTATAGAGACAAAAAACAAAACCAGAGGTCCTAAAATCCTAATGAATGTAGACAATGTGAACGCTCTTACAGAAAAGTAGTTACTTAAACATCTATTAGGGCTGGGTACAGTGGGGCATGCCTGTAATCCCAGCAGCTTGAGAGGCTAAGACAAGAGGATTGGAGTTCAAGGCCAGTCTCAGAAATTTAGCAAGGCTCAAAGAAAATTAGTGTCTCAAATTAAAAAACAAAAAGGGGGCTGGGGATGTGGTTCAGTGGTTTAGTGCCCCTGGGTTCAATTCCCTATACCCCCTCCAAAAATAATAATAATAATAAAGAAAAAAAATTTAAGGTAACACCAGAAATTGAAACTGCAGGAGAAAGCCTAAATGTGTTTACAAGCCTATGTAAATTCAAAGCATACAATTAAATGCTGTTAAATGGTGTATGTTATCAATTCTAGA